ACTGAACATGACAGGGCCTGACCATGTCGGTGTCGTGTCGGGTACACTCACGTGCAGAGTGACGGGGAACCACACACAAAGTGCCGCCGCAGCCGCTGTGCTATATCTACGCCGCACACAAGATCCCGGCCCGGTTCAGCAGGAGACAACGCCCCGGCAAGACATCACAACAGCACCTTACAACATGGCCATGTTCTCAGAGACGACAACTTTAACCTGGCAGCTCAAAAGTAGCGTTTCCTTCTCGTATGGGATAGCAGCAGCATCTGGCCTCTGTGGTGTGATTTTGGTTCTCGTCACGTTCGTCCGAAAAATCAGTATGCGAAAAGGAAGAGAGGAAGAGCCCGTACGTTTTAGGGAAAAAAGTCAGAACAAAAATGTCAACCAGGTTTCATGTCCTTGTGAGAATGGTGGCGGAATCCGGAATGAAGAAGAGGTCGAAAGAGAAGCTCAGTACGAAAATGACGACCAGTTCCCAGATCAAGACAACAAGACCGTGAACAAGCGACGTCTACGGAAGATGTGCCGAAACGCATCACGTCTTGGGCACGAGCATCTTTCTACAAACACCGACTACACTAGCCTCTACACGGACATCGACCACGTCAACCTCTCTGCAAACACTGACTACACTAGCCTCCACACAGACATCGACCACACCAACCTCCCTGCAAACACCGACTACACTAGCCTCCACACAGGCATCGACCACGCCAACCTCCCTGCAAACACCGACTACACAAGCCTCCACACAGGCATCGACCACGCCAACCTCCCTGCAAACACCGACTTCACTAGCCTCCACACAGACATCGACCACGCCAACCTGCCTGCAAACACCGACTACACTAGCCTCCACACAGACATCGACCACGTCAACCTCACTGCAAACACCGACTACACAAGCCTCCACACAGACATCGACCACGTCAACCTCTCTGCAAACACTGACTACACTAGCCTCCACACAGACATCGACCACGTCAACCTCCCTGCAAACACCGACTACACTAGCCTCCACACAGGCATCGACCACGCCAACCTCCCTACAAACACCGACTACACTAGCCTCCACACAGGCATCGACCACGCCAACCTCCCTGCCAACACCGACTACACTAGCCTCCACACAGACATCAACCACGTCAACCTCCCTGCAAACACCGACTTCGAGTGAGAGAGATGGATAAAAGTATAATTTTAAATCTGATTATACATTTTGTACCTTAGGTCACCTAGACTTGTGGAAAGTGGAAATGCATACATAGTTTCCTTTCAATATTTGATGGAAGATGTGTGATTTTTTTTGTCTTTCATTTATTTTGGTGGATAGATCTATATATGGTTTTAGGACGTGAATGCCCCCCCCCCCCAGAAAGCCATTGACGTGTTTGTATCCTCTGTTGCCATAGCAACGAGTCAGACCAATTATCTGCTTCCCTGGAGGTTCCGGGAATGAGTCTAAGGCTGGTCAGACACCTTCTTCAGTTGATTGGATTATATTTTGAGCCCAGACGGATTTTGCTTCCAGACGTTGGTGCGTAGTCGGTATCAAAGGCGCCCAAAGTGATTCCAGGGCGGTAAGACTGGATTTTCAAGGTCAATTTCCTCAGTCTTGGATGTTTTGTTTTGTTCAAATTTCAGCCTTCCTGGAACGGAAAAAGCCTGCTTTAGACCTTGGTGGTTGGTTCTGTAAGGCAACACTGATTAAATTTTAATGATCCACGCGCACATTGAGTTTCGCCTGTTCTATAAAAAAAGACCGAGGAGGCTCTGGCCTGGGTGCCGAAGCTCTACGCAAACTCAGCAGAACTAAGTACAGTGTCGACTCTTAAATGCTACAAAAGGCCAGCAAATTCACAATACCTTTGTCCCTTTATGACATGGTTTTCTGTCTCACAACAAAGCAGACTTAAGATCTCTCGGCATATTTTTTTCATATATAAGATGATGTTTTGAATCAAATGAGTTTAAATCTAATCTCCGTGACCTAAAAACCTACAAAGATCTATTTGCACCATTGTTGGTAATAGGCTGAATAGACAACCTCTGGCCTTATGCAAATGTCAGTCCGTTAACTCATTGCCTGTGCTGACTCAAATATTGAATGAAAGACATTTATTGTACATTTTTGCTCATTGCGAACTAAGTACAGGTCATGGTAAATAGCGATGGTAGACTAAAATATATCTATACTAAAAACGACATATGTACAGGTTCTGCTTCTTCTCTCTTCTTAAGACAGTTGTATGTAAATGTAAGAACAAATGGAGCTTATACTAGTACACGAGGGTTATCGAGTTTCATGAGGAATGGGAATTTTTCTTTTCTAAATTTCTGAAACTAGGGAAGTAATCTTGTATACAATTGAAGAAAATCTTTCTCTCATTATCATATAGAGTACAGTCCACAATAAAATGACTCTCGTCTTCAATCTCATTTAGGTTACAATAATGACAAATTCTTTGTTGCAGAGGAATGTGGTTGTTTCTACCCTTTTTACAAGAAGTTTGTGTGAGCTAATCCGGAGTCTTGTAGTGGCTATTCTGTGTCGCATGTTTGTTGTCTGATATCATCCATAAAAATTACTAACCGTCTACCTCGTGGTGTAAATTAAAGTTGGTGTTCTGTATAACCCGCCAAAGTCGCCTCAGTCCTCTAAAACAGATAACGAGGTTACTGAATACCTAGGTCGCTGCCTTGGGTGATTTTGGATCTTTTTGGATATATTTGCTTGTACGAGGTGAGTGAATTCCGAGGCATTTGCCCGCAAATGTTGCCGTTCTCGTTAATTAAGGCCACAGCAAGGTAATTTTTATGGATGACATGATCCCGCGCAATAATTTTTGCCTGATTTTGGAAAAAGAAAAACAAGAAATTTTGTTGCCTTCTGACAGTGGTCAACATACTGAAAATGGGCAAAGATGTCTGTTGCCATGCCGGAATGTGGATGGCAGATAAACATGAAAAGAGGAGAGAAGAAAAGGCTCTGATTTAATGTTTTGTTTCTTACTTTGATGCAGTGATATGTGATGCTGGCTGTGTATATGACATGTGATGTTCCCAGTGAATCAAAACCATTTGTACAATGATTGAGTCAAAATTTTAAACTTTAGGAACCTTGTTTTTTTCGACCCGTCTTGTTTTTTTTCGCCCGCTCGCGTTAGATTTTGAGTCTGCGGAGGATGTCATCCATAAAATGTACTTGCTGTGGCCTAATTACTTGCCGTCCTGTTGCAAAACATCATCACAGCATTTTCAGCCACGCGACAAAAACTGTGTCTAACTAGGGTCACAGAGATACGTAGGCACCGTCGTGGGGGGTCGGTCAATAGTTCGTGTGTGATAATAATAGATCAGGTTTGCTCTTTGTACCACTTAACCTAACAAATGGCTTCAACCGATTTTTACCTTTGGATACAATTAAAGTTCTACCAATCACGTAAATGTTGTTTTAATTGTTTTTAACGTTTGTACTGTTGTAAACGTCATGTTAAATTTATGACGTAATCGTCCGGGGAAATACTAGTATGATCTAATTAGGTGGCACGTTGGGTGTCGGCGACATCAAAAGGAAGTGCGTTACATCTTTACGGTGGCTCGTATGCAAATATTTACAGGCCATCAACCAATCACAACCGAGCACTGGCCGGCGGGAAGTTAGCCTCAAAAACCAGACTCCACGCGGCGGACAGCGTTTTGTTTGTTGGTGCCTGTTGTGCTTTTCTCTTGTGATATCTGAAGACGACAAATTTATATTTAGAGACTGAGACGTACATACAATCAGTTCTATATAAATTTCTTAGGAGTAACGGTCATGAATTCAAATATCAGAGTTATCAACCAAGAATTGAGGTGTTCAAAAACTCGCATTTCCCCAGAACTATCGTAGAGTGGAACTCGTTGCCACCAAGCACAGTAGGGGCAGCATCACTAGAAAGCTTTAAACAGATACAAGATACAAAAAAGAAAGCCGATAAAAATGGTGGACGTCCCAACTACTAAGTACCTAATACCAGCCCAGAACAAGAAATAGCTATGCCTTTAAGTACCAGAGTTATCAACCAAGGATTGAGGTGTTCAAAAATTCATTCTTTCCTAGAACTATCGCAGAGTGGAACTCGCTGTCAACAAGTACAGTAGGGGCATTGTCATTAGATAGCTTTAAACAATGTCTAGAGTGAGATGTTCAAAGGTTAGGTGTAACAAGTCGATTGGTGTAATGTAGCCAGCTGCCGCGCCGCGTGCCTGCGAAGCTGGTGTGTTACGCCGAAGGCAGGTTTTACCGGCTATACAGATACAGATACAGAACGGTCCCTCTCTCCTGCATCATAGCATCTTTGGCAAATCTGCTACAGTGATACACTCGAATAATCTCCAAGCAGTGGCTGCAATACAATATCAAATTGGCAAAACAGGAAGTATCAAATATTTACTTACTTAGGCCTATTGCCAATCCTTGGGCAGATCCCGCACAGTATCCAATACGACGCATGTAAAAAAAAGGATAAACAGAAAGATACCAAAAAAGAAACCCTATAAAAACGCCTAACACGCGTAAAAAATTATCCGAATCCTAAATCTCTGCTTGGAGAATGACATCCAAAGGCAGTGTGAATCAACATGTCAACAAGGCCCACCCTCAATGCCCAGACAAGGGCCACTAGACAGTCCCACTCCGCTGCCTACAGAGTGCCCCAAAGTAGGACTTCCTACAGGCAGAACTCTTTCTTCCCGCGGACAATTCCTGACTGGAATAACCTGGATGCAGACATTGCCCTTTCCTCTTCTCTGGAGGAGTTTAGGGGCAAGTTGTGAAACCTGAACTCCCCGCCATGCACCCACCACTACAGGCAGCAGAATCTTCAAACTGTTGAAGGCGGCTGCCTCAAGCGAAAGAAGAAGACAGCCCTACACGGAGTCTGAATCCCAGGCTGCGTACCTGTGGGCTACAGTATATATACAGCGGTCTGGGGGTAGTCTTCAGAAAGTGCGTAACATCCTGCGAGAGTGTGACAAGGAGTGCGTCATAGGCGACGTCCGTCTTAACATTCTCACATGACTCCTTAAGTTTTGTCATTTCCTTTTAAGGTGAACATCTAAGGTACCTGGTAGCCCTTTTCGCAGTTTCAGAGGATATAAAGAAATCACTGTTAGGCGTTTTGCGGGACCCGGAGTCAACCTAGGAGAGTAGCAAAGTTATCAACGTTAGGATTGTAGTAGTCTGACCTTGGCAATAGGTGAGTAGCAATACTTTTGTTTCTTTTTATATATATATATGTTCCAACATGTAATCACAAGACGTGGTGACGGCACACTCAACTTATATAATGCCACCACCAACACAGGGGACAATACAATACTCATTTTCACCTGAGCGAAGTGAGGAAAGCCGTGTAATGTGCCTTTCCCATGGTCACAAGATCGGTGGCATGTCGGGACTCGAACCCGAGACCTCTTTGTTTTGCATAACCGATAAACCACCTTTAGGCACTCTAAGTTTGTACAGTAAGTACAAGATGTGTAAGACCGGACAGTAAGACCTGTAAGGTTTGAACCACTCATATCTGGAAAGAGCCCTACTTTTTTCGAAGTGACAAGTGTGGTTAGATCTTGGTTAGATTCTAAAACATGGAGCTCAGGCTTTACGTCCCATCCGAGAGGACGTCCCTATATCTATACTGGATAGGTACTCTTTTTACCTACTTCAAGCTAGTTAATCTTTTTACCCGAGTCTAGTGAGGTAATATGATCTAATGGTGTAAATCGACATTACTAAGGACACAATAGTGGGGACTGTCTGGGCTTCGAACCGAGTACCTCCAGACTCTGAGTCAATATTCCTAACCACAAGATCACCTTGCCATAATATCAGTGCTTATCACTTTGAAGAAAGAACTAAAAGTACTAGAGATGAAGAGAGTTTTAAAAAAAGTTGATTGTTGCCTGGTTGGTTGTTGACTGCAGCGTTTGGACATGTTGTATTGTGCTAGTTGTAGAGTCCGTCACGTGGCACGCCTCTTGTTTTTTTAGCGGAAAACAGGGCAGAGCGATTTCGTTCTACCAGGCTCCATACGTTGCTATAGGAATATTAGTAGTTGAAATTGGCTAAATAGAATGTTTATCAAACCATTCAGTATTGTACATACAGGTAGTGCAGTGTTCTAGCCAGGCCTTGTTAGCATAGGGGCCACCTATGTTATAATTTTGACCCCTATGCTAAGTTTCAACAAGCATAGGGATGTTTTTGGAGGAAGAACTTTCATAAATCTTGCAAAAAATGAAAATATAACTTTAGAATAAAGCTATAGGTAAAGTTATAGCAAAACCTTTCACAAAATCTGTTCCACATTAGACAATGATAGTGTCTCAGGGGGTTATGAGTTTCAAAAATATTTCGGCTCAATGCGTGAGTTGCGCCAAGAAAGTTGCTCTTCTGTACCTGACCCCTATGCCAGGAAAAAATCCTGGCTAGAACACTGTAGTATCGAAAGATCTGTAGCTTTCTGGATTCAGACAGTATCACTACATGTAAGAATGCAAATCTAATGCGAGCGGGCGAAAAAAAACAAGGCGGGCCGATAAAAACAAGGTTCCTACGTTTACAAATTTTGATTCAATCATTGTGAAAATGGTTTTCATTCAGTGGGAACATCACATATACACAGCCAACATCACATATCACTGCATCAAAGTAAGAAACAAAACATTTTCTTGTGTCCTCCCTTCATAGTTATCTGCCATCCACCTTCCGGCATGGCAACAGACATCTTTGCCCATTTTCGGCATGTTGACCATTGTCAGAAGGCAACAAAATTTCTTGTTTTTTCTCCAAAATCAGGCGCTTGCTGATGTCATCCATAAAAAAGTACTTGCTGTGGCCTTAGAGTAACGTTGCGAGGAAACATTTTTACACCATAACACTGATGTCAAGTACCACTCACGGGTTGATCAACATAGTTTCAAGCGATGACTAATTGTTTACTTTTCCCACATTATGCAGAGTATATTACGCCTTTCGTTACTCGTAAATAACTCACATGGTCCATAAAGTCCACTTATTTAGCGGCACTTTTGTTTGATACTCGTCCAAAATAAATGGATCTTTATGAGGGTGCAATTTGCCTCGTGACATTTATTTGTATGCACTGAGTCACGTGTGTGTCGTGTTTTGGACGCATCCTAAATCTTTGAAGGAATGATAACAGGCGGACGGGCATTCCGACGTACTAAGGTAAAGGTAAAGGCCCGGTCATAGCCTTCCAAGGCCATAGGGGCATGGGCAATGCGTTGTTGATTCACTGTGTCAAGGGCACAGCAGAGCCCTTTATTACCTTCGCAAAGAAGGTTATGTTTTCAGTAGCGTTTGTCCGTCTGTTTGTCTGTCTGTTTGTCTGTGAACACCATAACTCAAGAAGCTTTCTATCCATTGTCATGAAACTTGGTAGGTGGGTAGGTCTTGATGAGACCTAGAAATGATTAGATTTTTGACCCCCTGGCGGCTTTTTTAGGTACTGCAGCAAAACTTCCGGTTTTGACATCTCATGATTTGGACATGCTAGGGTCACGAATTTTGGATGGCAGATAGCTCTTGGGCTAGGGAAGAAGTGACATGAGTTTGGGTTCCCTAGCTGCTTGTTCTGGAACTGCAGGAGCGTTTGTTGAAAAATCTTTTAAGAAGGATAACTCATGAACCAGTTGACAGATCGTCATGATTTTTAGTGTGTATGTAGCTGAAGTGATACTTTACAGACGACAAAATCAGTCAGATAGACCAGCACGTTGGCACAACGTACTGCACCTGCGCTAAATGCGTAATGTATTATACATGGCACTTCGGCAGAATGTCTCATATAAGGTCGTATTCGCGAAAATAAGGTTAACATCCCCTCTGTAATAAAGCAATAAAGTTGGTCCATATTTTTGCCACGCTTCTTAAATCAAGAAAGCGCGCGTTACCTTTTTTCATTTCTATATAAAATGTGTTACATAAGTTGTTGTTCCTGAACACGTGATGCACCGTTTTATAACGTTGTTAGTTGAAAGAATGCCCTGAATTCTTTAGCGCTATTAGAGAGATTCTGTGTTCAGAGTCCGGAGGTTATGACCGGTCTCCCGACCTGTCCTGTCACTGGCCGGGCAGGAGTTAGGCCACAGCAAGTAAATTTTATGGATGACATCATCCGCAGAGTCCAAATCTAATACGCGCGGGCGAAAAAAACAAGGCGAGCCGAAAAAAAGGTTCCTACATTTTAAGATTTTGAACAAATGGTTTTGATTCCTTTGGGAACATCGCATATACACAGCCAACATCACATATCACTGCATCAAAGTAAGAAACAAAACATTAAGTCAGAGCCTTTTCTTGTCTCCTCTCTTCATAGTTGTCTGCCATCCACGTTCCGACATCTTTGCCCATTTTCGGCATGTTGACCCCTTTCAGAAGGCAACAAAATTTCTTTTTTTTTCAAACTCAGGCGAAAATTAATGCATGCGCTAATGTCATCCATAAAAATTACTTGCTGTGGTCTAAAGGAGGACAGAGATGCGCTGCGTCTTCCCGCCAAAAACGTGACCAATCCACGGTGCTGTTACAACCTGTTGAGATGCACAAAGTCCAGCACGCACGCCCCGCGTGATGAGAGAAAAATCTGTTTCTGCCATCTTATTGAGAGCACTATCAGTCCCGCCAGGCTATAATTAGGTTCAGAGTGTTTGTCTTTTGATGGTCAGTCGCTTCGGCCGGTCCTAAGTCTAATATTTATCACATAATCTGAGGTGTTAAGGTCGGGGGGCATTGCGTCCTGTCGACCACCCTACAGCCTTTTCAGAAATTAGAAGAGGACTAGCCTCCGTAGCAGGCTTATAGAACTGGGGGTTTGGTGGTCTTCGGCTGTTTTCTGATTAGCCCAGGCCGGCTATGTTGTCTATTATGCAACCAGAAAATAGCACATAAAAGATCCCAAAGACACTGAAGACGCCCCAAACCCCCAGTTTTTGTCATGCTATGAAGGCTAGAAGAGGACTCATAATATTCTTTCTACACATGATTTGCGACTTATATTCCCATAATTGATACCCAGAACTTATATACTGAAAGTGCTTTATGTGGAATTCCTGACTTACAACATGTAGACCTAACAGTTAAAAGTTAAAGCGCCACGATTTTTAAAAACATGTACGAGTGCTGGGATCTACTACATCAAATTACTGCTTTATTTTAAATGATATAACTGAACAAACATTGTTCATTTACAGTTTACGACATGGCCTACCTACGGATGATGTACTTGAGCGTTTGTGTTTGCGTCGTGGCGTCCCAGCTCGCGCAAGCTGCTCCGATCCAGGGTCCTACGATCCAGGATCCCACCAGCAAGGATCCCGCGACCAAGGATCCCAAGACCCAGGATCCCGTGAAGATGGACCTGTTATTCATCGTGGACAGCAGTGCAGGTGTGGGGCAGAGGCAGTTCCACAGATTCAAACGGAGCATGAAGGTAACGAGAGATTCTTTATTGACACAACAAAAAGTACAGGGACTTTTATATGGTCTTCTACAGCTAAATATCTAACAAAGTTAAATACATGTATGGATAACTTCATCCTACGTACAGAATATATGGATGTGGCAAATTACGTACAGAATATATATCGGTGATAACAGTAAAGGTTTAACTATTCTCTAACATGTAGTCTCTAAGATTGAAACGAGAGAAACAACGTGTTCTTAATCTCCAAGCTGATCTTTTGGTGGCTAGCAAAGACAGAAACAAATTGGCCAGGCAGTACCCATTTGCCAGGTAGTAACCATTTGGCACCCCAAGTCAGGCTTAGCTTGTGAAAAAAGAAACAAGTACCAAAAAAAAAAACTATGAAACATTCTAAAAATAAGCCGAAGCCTCTGCTTGGAGAGTAACATATTCTAACTACCTGATGGCCCCAAAATGGTGCTTGTATAGTAGAGATAAAAGAATAGCCATTTCTTTCCTATAAATGCAGTCTATTCATGAAACGAAAAAGTAAGATTAACACGCAACAACTTTTGGTTAGACGTTTTGACGGAGGTGGGTGGCCCGGGGCTTTGGGATCTATTTTCGGGCTTATTCTGCGTTCCTCGGTAACGTCATAGCATGACGTCATTTTCAGACGACAGTGCGCAATTTCCTCAGTAACATCAGTAACATCATAGCATGGCGTCATTCTCAGACGACAGTACGCAATTTCCCCGCATCAGTAACATCATAGCATGACGTCATTCTCAGACGACAGTGCGCAATTTCCCGCCTCAGTAACATCATAGCATGACGTCATTTTCAGACGACAGTGCGCAATTTCCCCGCCGCCATCAACAAGGATAACGTCAGGGTGGCCATGATCATGTTCTCGGACGAGGCCGACACTCGCGTGGTCTTCCACCTGGACAACACGTTCGACAAGGAGGAGATCATACACGCCATCGGACATGCTAAATACACAGGTAAGGACTAAAACAACAACAACTAATACTACGTTTTTTTATTGTCCGAACAGCAACCGTGCAGTCGCAGCCTTTAATGGCTGAATTAATGCATGCAGGGTATCACATATATAGGGTTAATGATCCGCCCCGAGGTGAATATGGTGCGATAAAGCCTTGTCAGTTGCTATAACCACCTCATAAAGCCACCAAGTGAGCGCAGCGAACGAGGTGGCTTTATGAGGTGGTTATAGCAACTGACAAGGCTTTATCACACCATATTCACCGAGAAAGGGCGGGCCACCGCTCGCAGGTTATCAACACGGTTTCAAACGATATGGCTAATTGCTTGCTTTTCCCACGTTGTGCCCATCACAGGGAATCCAGGCAGAATGATGGGGAAGGCTCTGGGCCTGGCTAAGGACGAGGTTTTCCAGCAGGAGCGGGGTTCGCGGGAGGACGCGCACCAGCTGGTTTTCCTCATGACTACCGGGCCGAGTGACGACCCTGAGGAGGTCAAACACCGTGCTGCGGAACTGTTGAACAACGGTGAGAGAAAAATCATGTATAAGACCACAGAAAGTAGATTTTATTTGCATGACATCCTCTGCAGACTACAAATCTAATGCGAGCGGGCGAAAAAACAAGGCGGGCCGAAAAAAACAAGGTTCCTACATTTTAAAATTTTGACTCAATCATTGTACAAATGGTTTTGATTCAGTGGGAACATCACATGTACACAACCAGCACCACATATCACTGCATCAAAGTAAGAAACAAAACATTAAATCAGAGCCTTTTCTTGTCTCTTCTCTTCAATCTCTTCAAAGTTATCTGCCATCCACCTTCCGGCATGGCAACAGACGTCTTTGCCCATTTTCGACATGTTGACCACTGTCAGATCAGGCAACATAATCAGGCAAAAATTAATGCGCTCGCAACTCTGCCACACATAACAATGACTTCTGTCCTATTATCAGAATGACGTTTTTTTTCCAACAGGAGTGGAACTCTTTGCCACTGGAATCGCCATCGACTCACCCGTGGACAAGGAGGAGTTGTCGAAAATTGTGTCGGCTCCCCCCGAAACTCACCTGTACATCCTGCAAGCCGGTCCCTGAACGAACACATCAGCTACATGTAGTGCCAGCACGTTATTCTGATTGGAAATGGGCTGGGCATCATGAAAAGACAGCCGTACAGTGTGTAGCTCTGTAACTGACGCACCACTGCCATTTTATGTTCCCACAATGTATCATTTCATGCCAAGCGGTTCAGTCATCCATCGAACGTTCTACAATACAGTGGTTGTTAGAGCATACCATACCGTTTAAAGTTAAAACTTTTGGTCCAACACAAAAAAACTCTCTCACCTAGAGCTTTCGACCAGTCACGCTTGTCTTCCTCAGTAGATTGACCCAGTGAAGTTAGTCACGTGGCTTCTTTGAAGTGTGATGTCAACACTGGGTCAAAGGTATCTGGTAGACGATGTCGACCCCCGTCGCGGTTCAGTGTAGGGTGATGGGCCCTGATGTATATGGCTTCCTTCACCCCTCTCAAGAAATAGTCTTGTTCAGTGTCCGACATCCTTACAGTGTCAAGTGAAACAAAGTGTCCGGATGACTCTATGTGGATGTGTTGTGAGAGATTTTTTGTGTTGGACCAAAAGTTTTAACTTTACACATGTAACTACCAACACAGACGAACTTTCATGATAGTACACCATGTCGTGTAGCCATCTGAATTGTCATATACATGTAGATGAAGAAACCTCTGCCATTATACCTTGTGCAGGGAATCATTGTCATATAGTTCTTCCTGCATGCTACTATGTGTACTACTGTTCTTACCAGTATCATATTCAAGTATTCATATGGCAACTAAACTATAATAAAGTCGCTATACACATGCACATTACACTTAGGCCTTGTTCATATGAAGTCACCCGAACCGCGATTGGGGTAACTCGCATTCCTCACATCTGGTCCACGTGCCATACATTCCTTTCAAACCGTGCCCGATCATGATTCTCCTCGTCTACATTAGTTGCTGTTTGATGAAAACATGCAAGGTAGCGTGTTATTAATGTCAGAGGTCAACGACCTGCTTGCTGGTGCCCCCTCCCAGCGTATCTCGGCCGAATGCCGACGTGGTCCCGCCAAAGGCAGTGAAACTCGTCCTAGACACGTTATTCGACCATTACGTAAATTTTGGTATTGCATATAAATAGATATCACCCCGTAATCCATGACCAGGCGAAGTCACATTGAAATCACATTGCGATCTGGCGAAACCGGATCGAAACCACCCCTCGAAGTGGTTTTTAATTGAGGCGCTTTCAATGTGATTTGGAGCATTCAGATGGAGCCACTTGAAACTGGCTTCGGGGGAAACCACATGTAAAGGGCTTTCACTAGCTTCATATGAACAGGGCCTTAGTTTTCATATGGTATGTTTCTATTAATGCACAAAGCTTTTTTCGAAAAGGTACATTAACAGTTTAAAAAGTAGTATGACTGCACCTGTGACATAATTTAAGCACTCTGTCTACTTTTCAGCATTGATGTTCATATTGTTCAGTAACAGTAATCGTCATATTGGGGTAAATGCAATTACAGACTGCAATAATTGTACATTCATATTGTTCCTCAAGTTTGTATTTATATGATACACAGTACTTAGTATATACTTTTCTACTTCTTTTACACTTGTACCCTATTTTTTTTATACCATGTCAAACCTTAATAGTTGATTTCTTTTATACATTAAACAGGCAAATGTAGCAAAAAAGATGACATAGTCTCATTCTCTGAAGCAGTGATACAACTTCTGTCTATTGAATGGTAAGGCCACACCAATTTAATTTCTTGGTTAAGAGATTTTTCTAGAAAAATAATGGAGTGGACGGGCGAAAAAATAAAAAGACAAAAACAGGCCTAGGCATCCTATTATGGCCCCAAATGGTACGATAGGAGCCATGAAGTCAACACACCAGGCTGGTTCAAAATTTAAACAATGAATTTTGAACTTTTAATGATACCACTGCATTGAAAGATGAAATAACTGTAACAACTAGGATGAAAAGGACTGTTTTCAACTCTTCAGGGCAAAATATGAGCATTTTGCAGTTGATTCTGAATTTTTTTTGCAAATCAGAAAAAAATGAAGCAGGCGAATCCGTTAACTAAGAAATTAAATTGGTGTGGCCTAAATTGAAGAAAACAACACAACCCTGGAGTTATAAAGTGGTGGAAAAATTTATTCCGTTGATTGAGCATGATGGCACAACACTACAGAGCACTGTGTGACAAAAACTCAACAGACTTCAAATAAAACAGTCAGGTGACACAACTGGTGTGTTACAGAGGGGCGGTTATACCGGCTATACAGATTCAAATACAACTGGCATAATATTTTTGGTCTATATTTACATGTTTCTGTACATGGAGTGAAAATTATAGTCAGGGCTCGAAATTCATTTTTGGGAATAGGTGCACTGGTGCACCCAACCTAAAAAAATTAGGTGCACAAAATTTTTGGGTGCACCATATGAAACAAAAACTTATTGCCAGTTTTACTGCTACTCTTCTGAGCTAACTTCAAAATCATAAAACAAGTACTACAACAAAGATTTTATTATTTTTCTAATACTTAGAGACCAAGATTATCCGGTATACTATCTTACATTTCTAATGCTAACAATTCCTACAAAAATATTTGGGTGCACCCACAGAAAAAAATAAGGTGCACAGCTCCAATTTTGGGTGCACTATGGTGCACATGCACCCAGTATTTCAAGCCCTGATAGTATACTGATGCTGGACGAATGAACATGTATAGTGCAGATAGTACAAAGGCCTTGGACCCAATTGCATTGCTGTCTTCAAACAATTGGAGAAGCAGAATTTTGCTATTTGTACGAGCTCCTCTGGATAAGACTGCCACCTGTACAAGCTTTCAAGCAGTTACCATTACAAGCTACTGTGTCTGCAGGAGTATGTACAATATGTACAAAAATTCTCTTAATTCATCTTACAATTCTTGCCCATAGAAGTATTTCCAACTGCCCCTTTTATACAACAATGCTAATGACTCAATAAATCTTTCAAATCTTACAAGTCCAAATAAACAAATGTTTGGGTGACATAATGCTTCATGATTTCCATAGGAAAGAAGTGTTGTCCTGTCTTCAGGTCCACAAAAAATTACTACTAAAAAGGCACTGAATAACTTAATAGGCAACTTCTACAAAGAAAATGACTGCGAAAAGAAATGTGCCTAAATAACACTGAGACTTAAAATGTACCACGGTTATGGAATACGTAAGTCAATTAGGACAATGTAGTACATGTGTACAAACAATTGTAGACGAACAGTTGAAATGTAGAGGCAAAATCTACAATAATTATCCTGTAGATGTCTGCTCCATGGCAAGGAGCAATAAAAAACAAACAACAATACACATCCATAAATATAAATAAAACATAACCACACCCCTTCCAGCTATGTCTAAAATCCCTATGTACAAAATACACCTACACTACACTACTGGTTTGACTATGTTTATAAACGTCGGGCGTTTCAACCTGGGTTTTCTCCTCTTGGGTTTGGATCTACTTTTATGTATATGTACAGCAAAAAATACTACCACTAGAGTCAACCCGGCCAGAGCAAAGACTGGCATGGATTGTATGGAGTTGTGAGGGTGGCTGGGTACGCCCGGTTGGATGTCCCACCCTACGCCATCAGACACGATGTGCTGTATCCCCGGCTGGCGCCGGACCACGTTCGGTACCGGCGGCTCCATCAGGTCAATCGACAACAGCTTCTGGTGCTTATACAGATTTCTGTGGACGGATAAAAAAATGGAGTAAAAACTTTATTATCATATTAAAACAGCAAAAACATAAAAACATACAAGATGGCGTAGAACTCAAGTTCCATGGAACTTATATTAACGGCGCCATCTACACAAAATGATTAAACAGAGATGTGGTAATTACATGGACAAATAAATAAATAATATATTATACAAAATCGAAACAAACTAATTGGGGTTTAGTAAATGAAATTCAACGAGCGCAAGTCTAACCCGTATCCCTTAGAATCACTGATAGGACACGAGTAGAATAATTAAAGTCGAAAAAATTTACCAGATACAAAAGGACCACTTTTGATGATGAAATTCTGAGTAAAGCTCATAATTTTACAATTAGTCTCAAAACTGCAAAAGGATGATGCGTAAAGTAAAAGATGTTCCAAAGAATTATCAGAATAAAAACTTGGAAGACATATGGTTGTTTCCAACCAGATTTGTAAAATTTAGATCAACAAGGAATTGAACTAGTTACAATCCAGTAAATGATTAGTGCCCCTCCATGCAGACCCATGTGTAGTGATGATGGTCACTTCTAGGCTCAAAAGATGAGGATGTGTTAGATGTTAAGGCAGAAAGTTGATGAACAACTCTCCACCCACACATTACATTCTTGCAATACTAGATACTACATGTAGTAGACAGACTTACGTTGGTGCTGATTTGTTGAGAGGCTCCCCTTTAGCCCAGGACAGGTGTGGGCAGGCAGGTAAGGGGCGAGTCTGGCCAGCCAGACTGGACTCCAGCACCTTGGAGTACCTGGCAAGGTGGTTACCTGGGAGGAACAATACCATGGTCATCATTGTATCACTCTCACACCCCAACAATCAACGCCTTTGAGACAAGATTTGTATCAGCCATATTGCATCCCAGTTTCAGCCTGGAGTCCAGCCTTGTTAGCTTTGATCTGCTTTCGAAAATCCGCTAGCAAATCTTGGGTTTAGAAGCAGACCAAAGGCAACAAGGCTGGACTCCAGGTAATCCCAGTTTAACCAAACCACAACATCTTGCAAAGCAAACCCACCAGCAGACTATGGGCCAACGTAGGTGTATGCGGGCGCGCACACACACCACACATGCGCATGCACACACGTGCATGGACACACACACGCGCTCATACACACATACGCACAACACCCACGCACACCAGTGACACCACACACACACACACCACACACGCACGAACGCACACACACACACCACACACGCACACACCCCGCACGCACACACACACACACACACACATACACACACACACACACACACACACACACAAACACACACACACAGCAATACTTTCAATGTTAAACAAAAATGCATACTCAATACATGGATAAAGGGATCCATGGTTTACCTTCCATTCTTTCTGGTAGCTCCACGTTCATGATAGAGAAAGGCGAGCCTTGCTGCTCGAACACTGGAGGCATGTGGTTATGGGATGTGTACTGCAGGAGTGCGTCCAGAAGCCAGAAACAGTCTAGGCAGCAGAAAAGAAGTAATCTGTAAGTGGGGTCGTGTGGCGCAACGGCAGCGTGCGCGACTCGGAATCAAGAGCTCCCGGGTTAAAGTCCTGACATGCCACCGATCTTGTGCCCTTGGGAAAGGCGCTTTACACGACTTTCCCCACTAGACTCAAGTGAAAATGAGTACTGTCTGTCCAGTATTCGTTTCTATGTGCGGGACACAACACCAGCAACAGCTGCCTCTGCTCCGCGTGTATTACACTGTTGCAATTTCAATAAGTCAAATCAAATCTTAGCAAAATGTTCATGGTTTGCACTGTGCATATGAAAGGTCAAATGTGAAGTCCCCTAACTTGTAAACACATCTTGTCTAGATCATGCTTGTCTCAGGGACCTTCTTCTCTGATAAATAGCCCATAATGTGCACAGGCTTAATGGGTAACACTATAGTACATAATAAATAAATACAAAATTCAAATACTAGTAAGAGTAACAACATTCTCTGGTCAAAAGAACTGATGTCACTTTATGCCATTATTTCCAAAGTTCCCATTGAAAAGTTAAAACAACACAGCATGGCCATATTATCCACGAATACATGTCAGTTATTGCTGATTTCTTGTCAGATGGACATTAGGCCACACCAATTTAATTTGTTGGTTCTCGGATTCGCCTCATTTTTTCTTATTTCCAAAAAAAAAAAAGAAGATTCTGGTCTTGAATCAACTCAAAAATGCTTATATTTTGCTCCCAACAGTTGAAGAAAGTCCTTTTCTTCCTAATTGTTACAGTTTTTTCAATCAATGCAGTGGTTTGATTAAAAGTTCAAAATTCGTTGTTTAAAGGAGTACTAACCTCCAGAAGGGGGTGCTATATTTCGACAGGCATTTATTTTTGGAATTGAAAAATGCATATTATTTTACAGTATACAATTAAATGCCCATTTTGCGCGCAAGTCTTAAAACGCATCGAATCCAGGACAAACTCTCCAAATACCCTCAAAACTATCCCAGAATACACCACGCTACCCCATTGGTGTCTATGTTTTAAACAAAAAGTTACGTTACAGACCTCATTTCGGGGGCGATAAGAAAAATTACGTACCGTTTTGTGTTCTTTGGTATCTTACCAATCATTGCCCTTCTTAAAGTCCTTATCGCCCCTCATTTATGCCGAAAATATTGACGATGAAAAAAACGGACGTAATCTAGTTATCCTTTCCATAAGTGGCGTAATCTAATTATCTGTTCAAGTGATACTTACATGCAAATAAGTTAGAGAAAAT